TCAGTGTAATGCTTTTATTAATGTATAGAAGGAATGTAAAATATAGTAAAACTAATGTGCATTTCAATATTAAAAGTGCTCTGGAAAATTTGTATGAGCAGGCATAATAAAAGTAGTCAGATACTTGGTCCTATGCATAAAATCAGCATGAATTTGACAGCTACAAATGCAGGTTCATACAGGTATGCTTATTGGCAAAGCAAGTACCATGGCATGGTACCATCAGTGATGAGATTTTCTCATGGAGTTAGCCACTCGTCGTAATCTTCTGTAAAACACAAAGTAAACAGTCTCTTCAAATTACAAGGTTGTTGCACTAAGAAAATTCAGTACATATTAAAATTGAGTGAAATGTACTTTAAGTTTATTTGCAGAACAAATTCAAATTATAAGACCATATAAATATAAATAGGTTTTTCAAGTACATGAATAGTGATGGAACATTTGAAAACCATGTGGGATGCAGAACAATTCATCATGCAGTAGGGTCCTACAAATTACAGGATATCCACCCATCCCTGACCTTCTCCTGCTTAATGATAATAGCACCTTCCCATCATCTTGACCACCAAAGATATTCCTATAAATGTCCAAAATATCTCTAAAGGACACTACCATTCCCATTAAGAGCCACTGATTGAGACTGAGCAAAGGCACTTTTTTGTAATGAAGCACTGTGACCCTTTACCTTTTACTTTTATACTGAATTGATTTTATAGATTAGGAAACTGAATTTACCCCCAAAGTGAATTATCCAGCTAGAATAAGCCTGCTGGTCAAAAAGGATATAGAAATCATTCCTGAGAACTAGAAGGCATTTAATGTGGGAAAGCCCTTTACATCCCACTTTGTGTAAGCCTCTCTAGATTAGGAAAATGGAGATTTGAAAAATGAAGAGAAGTTTACAGACCCTAAAAAGGGGAGCTTTTGATAAAGGTAATGTTGTGCTAAAGGAAAGACCGTGCTCTGAATGAAAAGCTATTGTTCTCTCTTTCAAAACATGACTAGGGATAAGTGGAGTGGACTAGTTTCCCTTTACTGCCACATCATTGCAGTTTATTAATAAATGGATACGTGTGTGTGTGTCTGTGTGTGTGTGTGTCACACTAGGGGTCAAACCCAGGACTTCACACATACTAGACAAGCACTATACCCCTAAGCTACATCTCCAGCCTTTTTTTTTTTTTTTTTTTTTTTTTTTGAGACAGGGTCTCATTATGTTGCTGGTTGCTGGCCTTGAACTTGACGTCTTCCTGAGTACTTGGGATTGCAGGCATGTGCCACTGCACCTGCCCTAGATGCTTTTTTTAATTGGCCCAGACTTAAATCTTGTATATCCTTTTGAATAGATAATTTAGTGGCCAAGTATTTCTATATTATGGAATAAAACCACCAGTCTTTACTTCCTAATGTGTGTGTGTGTGTGTGTTATGTATGTGTGTGTATGTATGTGTTTTGGGGGTACCAGGACTTGAACTCAGGACACTCCACCACTAAGCCACATCCCCAACCCTATTTGTATTTTATTTAGACAAGTCTCACTGAGTTGCTTAGTGCCTTGCCAGTGCCGAGGCTGGCTTTGAACTCATGATACTCCTACCTCAGCCTCCCCAACTGCTGGGATTACAGGTATGCACCACCACACCTGACTAAAGCAATGTAGTTTTTAAGTACTAGAAAGCTATTCTCAAAAGTTTTCGTTCACTGTTATGTAGATTTTTACATTAAATTGAAAATATTTTTATTGAACATTGTCAGTGAAGTTTTGAAAATGGTCTCCCAACATGATCTTGAAATGTGTCTATGCAGCCCCCAAAATAGACATGCAGTTATCCAACTTCCAAATGCAATTATTATTAAAAATCCACTTTCAAATTTTCAGAAGTTTTATATAAAATATTAATTTCATCATACACTTGTTTAAAGAAAATCTTCCCTCCCCTGCTCCATTCTCTATAATTTTGTTGATGGCCTACTTTGCTTACTATCTTTGCTGCTATTAACTTTCCTTCCTCTTCCTTATTATTTATACTCTTAAATTACAAGAGTAAATGTTGAGAGTCAGCGCAGGTACTCAGTTATTTCAGTAACTTTTGTCTTTTCAGCCCAGGACTAAACAAGCAAGGAATCATCATAAACTAAAAATAAAAAGCTTTTGTGAGAACTTTATCAACAGGGAAATTTATTCATCCTTCAGAAAGATTGTCACCAGGAGCCTGGCATGGTGGCACATGCCTGTAATCCCACCTGAGACAGGAGTTCAAAGCCAGCCTCCACAAAAGGCAGGTGCTAAGCAACTCAGTGAGATCCTAACTCTAAATAAAATACAAAATAGTGCCGGGAGTGCTGGGGATATAGCTGAATGGTAGAGTGCTTGCCTTGCATGCACAAGCACTGAGTTCCATCCCTAGCACCAAAAAATAAAATAAAATAAATAAATAGTGCTGGGTTGTGGCTCAGTGGTTGAGTACCCCTGAGTTCAATCCCCAGTACCAAAAAAAGAAAAGAGAAAGATTGTCACCAGGAAAGAATAAAGGTGTTAAAATTGCTTTAGACCATTGACTCCTCAGGTCCCTTTAGATTCATAAATTGAATTGGTTTTCAAGGGGTGGGAGGAATTAGGAGATGAGTTCCCTAAGAAAGCTTACAAATTGATCATATAGTTGGTAACACTAGCAGGTGTAAATGTGATCACTAAGGAGGAAATGCCAAATGTAGCAAGAAGCTTGGGAAATTAGTAGGAAAAAAGACAATTAACACCTTTTTCTTTCTGTGTGTGTGTGTGTGTGTGTGTGTGTGTGTGTGTGATGTACTATATATCTGAGAATGGCCTGTCAAAAGGAAGAAATACAACTGATTTTAAAATATTTTATAAGTGCAATTTAGTAGTTGTTTTTAAAATGAAATTGGAGTTGCAGATGCTATAGGGAAAAGATATTTCATAAACCTACTTGGAAACTGGGCCTCCTTCTAGATATATCCACAAAATTTTATTTAAAGTACACATGTCAGTAATATATGGAGAATATAAATGTCTCCAAATTTAAAAATTCCTTTAAGATTATCATTTGAATAAATCAATAATAATAATAATAATAATAATAATGTCTGGATACATTTTAAAGAACTTGAAATTTTATACACCTTTTGATGCAGGCAAGCATATATATAATTTTTTCCCAAGAATTCTATTAAGAATTGTCAGAATTCAGTTAGGCACTTTAGGATTTGCCAGGATAAAACTACACTCATCCCTCCCTTCCATTGAATAATATTAAATTGTGCCTGAAATGAGTAAGCAAATAGAGAAATGACCTCATTTTTTTAGTCTGAATACAAGTAGTGTTGGGGGATATTTCTCAAGGGTATGACTTCAGTATTGGATCTTAGTTCCAAATGCAGGTTCATAAGGCCAATCTGCCAAGGAGAATAAGATGAGAACATCCCTGTGAGAGCAACTATGAAGAGAAGGGTTCTCTGGCAAGGCCAGTTCCCACAGCTAAGTCACATGCACAGATTGTAGCTTCCTACTCTCTGGCCGACCGACCGCAGCCATAGCATCCTTATTGTTGTAACTCCCAGATTGTGATACTGTCACAAAACTGTTGCTAAGCAACAAATGTGGTTACCAGGTCTCGGCGAATAGCTGAAGGGGAAAGCAAAGTGTTGCACCATTGTAGAGTAACCATAGCAATGACCTACTATTACAGACTAAAGAATTATCATTAACAATGTTAAAGTATCAGACAGAGGCCCTGAATTTGGAGACTTCCAAGCAATATCTCTGCATAATTGAGTGATCTAAGAAGAGATTTCAACTGTTTCAAAGCTTTTCACTCATTTCTATGGTAGTCTTTGTATTTTTATTTTTTAATTTTAAAAATTGTTCAGTTATGAAAATATTGTTTAAATGATATGAGCTTTCACAACTAGTCAAAACCAAATTAACTTATTGCTTCATGTATTCTCATGCCTGCATCAGTGTTATTTGCTGCCTGTGTCAAACTGAAAGTAGATTTGATTTGGAAAACAGTGTACATTAATATTAAATCAAAGCCATAGAAAGAAGCTGTAGTAAAATAAAATAACCCTGTAGAACTGACGACTAACCTATGTTTTCTGATTTCCTCCTTACAAATCAGTAGGCCTAAATGCTATTTTAGTAGTTACCGCTTTGAAACATTTTTTAAGTTATCCTAAATCTACCCCTAAAACCGTAAAAATGTCACCCACTAAGATACTTCAAGGAATAGTCTCTTGAATCTTGTCCTTTATTAAACAACCCACAGGATTTTGTCCCAGTGACCTCGCTAAGACAATCATGTATAACATCACAACTTCTGGGAGAGGCAAGAAAAATCCGCCCCCCCCCCTTTTTTTTTATTTCCTTGGGAAGCAAAAACGCTTGAGTGCTCTGGGGCGGGTGTGGAAGCGGGATCCAGCTCACAGGGGAAACCAGTGCGCGCGGAGCCTGGGGAAGTAGGTGGCTGCCAGGCAAGAGAGGGAGTGGCCCTTCCGCCGAGCTCCTCGATTGGCCCGGAGGGGTTTAGGCCACGGGCTTCCCGGCCGCGCCTCGGGCAACCCACGAGGCAGGTCCCGACCGCATTCCCGCGTCGGAGACGCGATGGGGACTCGGGCCGCAGTCGGCCGCAGGCCCCTGGGGCTTCGCACCCTGAGGCCCCGCGGAAGTCCGCGTCCCACTGAGCCCTGGGGTGGGGCAAAGTAAGCCCTCAGCTGTAGGTACTCCCTGGAGCCGCGGCGCCGCGCGGTGCCTCGCCTCCCCCGGGTAGCCAGCTTGAGAAGCGCGCCCACGAGGGGGCGGCGCGGGGCTCCGAGGGCTGCCGGGACCCTGGCTCCGGGGGCGAACGCGTGTCAGCGCAGGGCTCGGGCTGGACGCGCGGAGGACCGCCGGGTGCCTCGGCTGCCTGGCGGTCGCCGCCCCAACCTGCGCCCGACCTCGAGCGTGGCCACTTCGTAACTGAATCTGTGTTTTTCGGCAGGCACCGACCGTCACGAGCTAACTTCCTGGAAGAGCTTCCCGTCTATTTTCAAATTCTTTACCGAAGCCTCTGAGGCAAAGACCAGTTCCCTCAAGCCGACTCTGACGCGACGCTCCCACCGAATAAAGCACGAAGAGCTGTAAGAGGAGAGCGAGCGAGACGGGGGAGGGGAAGCCAAGGAACCACTCTGGAGCATGCATCCACACGTCGCCTAACTGCTTGCTGTCGGGGAGCAGACTCCCAGCCCCTCATTAGATTGTTTTCTTCCTAGAGCACAGGGTCGTGATATATACATCTAAATAGCGTTTTGCATTATTTCTAGATGAGTGCAACTGTCAAAGCAATATGGGTTCACTGGTCGTGCTTCCTGCGGGCTGAGCTC